TTAGTCTTAAGAATGAAGATTAGGTGGCCAGGTATCAAGTGTCTTTGGTTATTATTTTTATTAAAAAACATTTTTACTTTTTTGCTGACATAATATGACATGGACAAACAAGAGTAAAAAATTCAGATTAGAAAAAAAAATATAAAAGAAAATATTACTGAACACAATGGCTGTATGGGCTGAGTCCTTTTGCCTTTCCCTAAAAAGGGAAAAACCGAATCAAAAAAAATATACTTATGAATACCAATGTTTCCTATGTTCGAAGATCGAATACCGACCATTAAAAAATAAGTCGTTAGGCTAGCCGCTACCTTGGTTGTCATTCAATTTCAAAGATTCAGTATTGCAATCCTATACTGCACTATTTTTTATCTAGATTTTAGATAACATTGTTTAATACTAGTCTGTATGTGACATCACAGATAACAAACTATTTGAATCACGACTGAAGGATTATAATATAAGGAATCAACAAAGGAAAATCAATTAGCTCATTACGTGGTTAGGTATATATAATAAATTGCTCACGGATTTTCCCGCCTTTTGTTATTATTCAGAAATACCTTCGATCGGTGCTCCTATTTAAAAAAAATTACCGTTGTATATACCTTTTAGAATAAAATTCTTGATATAAACAGAAAATAAACAAAACTCGAATAAATAAATATTTATGCATTACAGCGACATCTATACGTTACTACATTAAAATATTCAGTTTCTTTGTAAACAATATAGTTAGTAATGTTAGACTATTGCACTAGATGGCGCTGTACATTTATTTGAACATGCAAATTTATTTATTATTCTTTGTTTCTAAGTTTTGCAATACTGCGACCTTCACGGCAGTCTATGCTCTCGAAAAACTAAGGCATTGAGTTTTTAAATTGATGCATTACTGTAGCACAATAATTGTTTAGTTCTGAGCACAGATAACATATACAATACAACACTATGGTGTCTTATAACTGAAAATGCGAACAAATTTATATTTATGTGTCAAATGTTTTCTTGAAAATTATCCTTGATGGGTTACACAAATAAATAATAAAAAAACAGTTGTGAAATGTTGTTTGTGCATTTTTTTATTGGTATAAAAAATACAAATTTCACATTTGTTTTCATTTGTGATCAAAAACTATAATAGTTTTTTGCTGATGCGCTTGTTTTATTTGAAAATAGCTACTCGCCCTGGCTTCGCACGAGTGTACATGTATTATACATATAAACCTTCCTCTTGAATTACTCTATCTATTGCTAAAAACTGCATTAAAATTCATTGCGTAACATAAAAGGTATAAACGAACAGACATCGGAAGCAACTTTTTTACTATATAAAGATAAGGAACATGACGTCTTCGCCAAAATGTAATAGATTGTAAATTATTCATAATGAATTGAAGAATATAGGTGTATAATTGAAATCTTTCTCCCTCGTTGATCTATAATATAGTATTGAGTGTATTTTATGCAACTAAATCGAGTATTACGTCGGCTTTGCCGAGTGGATAATGTCATAATTGCCTTTCACCTAATAGTTGTGACCTAATAACCATTAAAACTGGAAAAACTATATCATTTATTTAAATTATGCTAAATAAGTGGATTTATTTCATTTATGCGACGTAGTGGCGCAACTGTATCTAGGAGCGGTGGTGAATTTATCAGATTGGATCCTCGAACGAACCAGCGACAAAAAAATTGATATTGAACCGCAAAAACCACTATAAGCTGTACTAAATAATGATTAGTTTAGTACAACTCCGCTATGGCCTGTAAATATAATCGTAACTAGGCGACAGATTATTTTCCTGGACAATTAACACAGCGCCATCTAGTCCCACAGCAAGCAGAGCTTGTGTTATGGGTACTACACAACTGATATACTTATGTAAATACTTAGATTTTTTTGTATATGCATAAAAAACATTCAGACCGATACAATCATACTCATGAATGTACAGTGCGAGGAATCGAACTCGCGACTATCGGAAGTAAAGCGGTGTGCAAAACCACTAGACCATCAATTTGGGAAGTAATATAATATTTAATGTATTATATCATCATTACCTTGCCTTTATCCCATTATTTGTGGTCGGCGCAGTATGTCATTCTCTTCCACTGCTCTCTATCGGTCGTCATATCTAAGCATACTCTTCTTTTATTCATATCACCTTTCACACAATCTATCCATCTTTTCTTAGGGCGTCCCCTCCCTTTACATCCATCCACATTCATATTATACACTTTCCATAAGACATGGTCCTCATTCCTCCGCATAACATGCCCATACCAGCTCAATCTGTTACCTCGCAACTTTTCTGGCGCAATTTACAAACTCAAAAAGTAGCCTACGTTACTCCTTATTCTTCATGTGCCATCTCCTACTGGCGATCATCATGACCTTAACATTGTCCACCTGTGTTCTGAACAGTGATCTGCTAATCCCGAAGCACTGTCTTAAGTTCTTTCAGCCATGAGGTGCGGCGCCTCTTCGTCTTACCTGAATTTTCCTTGAATTATCATATCATAAGCCAATATTTTTTATTTTGCATTATATGTATTGACATAGCTATATATGAGTGACTCTTGTCAAAGTCCAGTCAACTTAGATTTCCAAGAACAGACAGACAACAAAATATTAGCAGGTATACTAGCTGTGCTGTGAAATTTATAGCCTATATGTTATTCAGTTGTAGAAATTATATTACTGTAGTTACATCAGTCCGATCAGTAGTTTTTGCGTGAAAGAGTAATAAACAACCATCCATACTCACAAACTTTCGCATTTATAATATTAATAATAAGATTTTAACTGTATACGCTGGCGGGACAATAGTGGACTATAAAATAAGTATGAAGTTAGTTCAAATAACCCATCGTGGAGTATTAACCAAGAATTTACTAAAATATCTACAGAGGTAGACCGCATGGAGGTCAACCTGTCATGGAACAACTTACCTATTAGCTTAGCTTCTTATTACTAACATTACCATGAAGTAGCTCCCACAATTAATTTCTATTGGCCAGGAATTTATGTACTTACATATATAGTATTTAAATCAAAGAATAAACCGATTTTGATGAGTTTTTTTTATTGAAAAATTCCTCTAAAGTTTAAGTAATAACAATTAAGCATGAGTGAAGTAAATGTTAATTTTGTAGGTAATATTTGACTTTGAAACTTACAAGTCTAAAAAGTTATCTGAGATATGCACTATTATGGAAGATAGATCTTATCTGTTAGGTGTTTTTAATAATGTTATACATATATCAAACCTATATATTTTATACCCAATAATTAGTAACCTGTCCCTGTTGCCTTGCTTTTAAATATAAATGAAAATTATCTACACAAATAAATAAAATTAAAATATAATTTCAAATCAAAAGCTTCTCACAAATATATATAAAATCTAAAATAAGATAATATTAATAAAAGTGTATACAGCAATTACATCAAACATACAATAACAAAAATGTCTGCTCTAGCTAATAATCTCTGAAATGGCTGAACCGATTTTGATAGAACTTTTACTTGCAGGTAGTCAATGTTATAAGTAGTAACTAGGGCTACTTTTATTTTTAAAAGTTAAATACTATGTGGACTAAGTTTAACCGCTTGTAAAGTTTGTACATTTATAACAGAATATTTTTTATTAAACCACAATTATATATAAGTCTTAAAATAATCTATATAATGTAAGTAACCTGTGATTTGTGAATTATTATATTGGTTTATAAGCAGGCATTATGACCGTACAATTTATGCAACCAGTAAGAAATAATAGGGGCATTTATCCAAATCGTTTATTCAAGCAAATGAACATAATATGAACAAAGTATAACATTAAATTTATCTACTTAGTGATATTTACATTTCGTACCTCACTTATTATGTATTATTGATCTATACGTACATACATCTAGGACTCTTATACTAACCAGTATAAAAATGCAGAACACAATCCTTCCTCTTGAGCTGAATTAAAAAATATTTCATTTTATCAAATGTTACACTCCCGGCTACTCTCATTGAACTTCAACTGTATTTTGCATTTTTACATCAAATAATCCTTAAGAACAATATTATTTTTGATAAACTTTTATCAATCAAATTGTCATAATGGAATAGACCATACGTTTGCGACGCTGAATCAATAGACTTTAACAGGTAGGCACGACGATTTAACTGTATCTAACTAACACAGTGTGTGAGGCGAGTTTATTGCAAACGTTGATAACCAGGGAACTACCAATAAAGTTTCTCATACAAACTAAATAATGAAATCAGTCCTCTATAATAATGATCTATATAATGAGGATTACTTGAGGATCAGGGACCAGGGAATACTGATAGACTCTCGGAGTACACATACAGATGTTACTTAGAGAATAGAACAGCCTCCGAGGTAGTCAGTGCTTTATGGAGCATACCATATGAGAACAAGGCTTGTCATAGAAAACTTAAATAATGAAATATCTGCGCCATTAACTAAAACTAGGAAACAAAACCGTACACAACGGTTCTAGAGGCCAGAGCCCACTATGTGGACTCAGCATCAATGTCCTGGCCAAAAGAAACGTTGGGTACATGTGAATCTATAACTTTACATCTAATATACAACACACTGTTCTGTCATTCGGTCAACTTCAACTAGTTGGTACTGTTCGTCAATATATATTGTATTCAGTGCGGAAGACAAACAATTAAATTAAATTACAACAAAGTTACCTATTATTACAAGCTTTAACTGAGATTACACTTAATTAACATGTTATATTTATCATTGCTATAAATTGCCATACAGTAAAAAAGGACGCATACAAATTGTATTAGACAACATAAAAGTAAAACAAATTTAGAAATTAAAGACATTCTCTTCACATAGAGAAACTCTCAGTCTATATAATAGGATTAGATTGTTAAAATTTAATTTAAAATTAATTCTGAGTCAATTCCATTCCATCAAAATTCACAAATGAATTGCCCAAACAAAAATCTGTAAAATAACACATGGAAAGTAGGGTACATTTCATCAGATGAACATACTGACAGTTTACGGATAGTTACATTGAATTCAGTGTGTAAATTAGACATTAATAATAATATTAAATTTTAAGAGAGTAAATAAAATATTTTAGTAAAAACTCTATCAAGACACTTTCTACAGACCCATATAACATACAAAAACTGATATAATATAATAATTATGATTCAAAATATACTACTGTTCGTTCCACACATTGTTCACATACAATTTACAAGTGACCACTGCAACCAACGACTCCATGCACAATGGTGTCGGATACACTATACACACCGATAGTGCATACTTTGCACTCTGGTCTCGTATTAAGGACACTGAAAGCTCATTCCACAGGCCCGCGACGCTGGCTCATTGCTGTTGATTCGACTGCGCCGCCTGGCTCGGAGACTTCGTGAATACGATCGTCTGCTTGCCTCCGACGCCAGACTTGCCTAGCTGTAGAACATTAGAGGGCAACGTAATAATTTTATTCCCGCTGACAGTGTTTGCTGTCACCAACTTCACAATGGTCGCTCCGGGAGCGATGTTCTGGCCTTGCGCCACGGTCGCCGGCACAGCTGGCCGGTTCTGCATCATTGCTACCTTCGGCATCGTCGCCACGGTCATGCCTGTTGATGTCTTTACTAAAGTTACGTATTGTGGCGCGTTGCTCGTTTGGGCGTTCGCACCGGGACTCTTCTTTATGATGACAGGTATACCAGCGTTACTGCCGGCCTGCCGCAGCACTGTTGCGCCGCCGGCCGCTACCGACGTTGTGGCGACCGTAGCTGTCTGTTCGCCTGACTTGGCAGAAACGATTTTGTAGACGGGAGTCTTAACTTGCTGACCTCCAAGCGTGCCGCCTGCAATCTGTATAGCACCTCCTCCACTAGCTATGACGGGCAGATTGCCCGCTCCTAATTTAACAGGAACACCAGCGGCGACTTTAGTCTGAAGATTAGCTACTCCCGCCTGTATCGGTACTCCGCCCGCTGCCTTCACCAACACATTGCTTGTTCCAATTTTAACATTCCCAGCGCCGAGTTTCAAGGGTGTCCCGACTTTTTGCACGCTATTTGTGGTTATTTTGCCTTGAATGTTGGCGGCGCCGATTTTGAGAGGTACACCACCGCTTGTGAGTTTCACAGGGACATTGCCAGCTCCTAATTTGACAGGTAAAGCTCCACTGGCGCCGGTCTTAACTTGTACAAACCGTGGTGTTCCTGCACCAGCTGCTCCAGAGCTAAGCACGATCTGTGCATTTGATTGGGCAGTGGATACTCGTACAGTACCAGGTGTTCCTACACCACTCACTATCCTTGTTACACCTTGCGGTGTCACAGCGGCAACTTTGATTTGTTGCGAGGATCCAGCCGCGGGCGATTTCACGATGGTTTTGCCTTGATAAGTAGCTTGTTTTAATGTTGGTGTATTTGGAGAAATTTTGACGGAAGGTGACTGTGCTGGTACTTTGATGGAAGCCGGAATAATTTTTTGTGGTGTTGATACTATTGGAGTAATAATTGGCGAGGCCGCCGCGGCGACTGGACGGACAGGCAGGTCAGTCGGGGTTACTGGCAGACTGCTAGCTATAGGTGATGTTAGTCCGAAGGCCTTGGCAGCATCGGGTTGTGTTGCAATCGGCGAGGCGGGCGGCGGCGCCGCCACAGGCTCAGCAGTAGTAGGGAAGCGAGCAGGTGTCACTTTGCCACATTTCTGTACTTGTAGGACATATGTAGTGATAGTGTTCATAGCCGGCCAACACAGTTCTAATGATGTGGTACCAGCACGTACCAGTGCTACCCGGCCTGCTTGTGGTGGCACACCCACTTCCAGATACCAGAGATCTTTACAACAGATTTGATTGTTCCAGGTTTTCCTATAGCCATCTCTTCCAGACCAAATGTAAAGCCTTGTTTGTATAGCGACTGCGCTGTGCCCAGCCCTGGCACGGGGTACGCACTCCTCAAAGTTATCCAGAGCTATGTTATCCCAAGTCAAATTTTCTAAATTTAGTGAAGCGAGTGTATTAGTACATTTCCATTCTTTTTCATGTGTGGCAAGTTTAGATTCATCTGGTACGAGTGGTACCCAGCCTCCATATACATACATGTGATGACCAATAACTGTGGCAGTGTGAAGTGATCGAGGCAGTGGTGCCGGCCCTCCCACCTCAGGTCGGGACCAAGACATGCTATCTACATCCAGCACCCATAAGTCACCAAGTCGCGAACCACTCATACCTCCATAAATTATTAGTGATGATTTTCCAGTGTTTCTGTCTGTGTATGCTACACCGCTGTGAGACTCACGGGGAGGTGGCGACTGACCATACGTCAGAGGAATGTCCCACACAGTCATTGAAGAGTTGGGATATAGTTCAAGGGTATACAGGTCATTAAGGTACCTTGGTATGTTATTCTTAGGGTCATCACTTTCGTTGGCCAGCCCGCCGAAAAGGTATACCTTCCCATTGAGGAGTGTGAAACTGTGTCCAAGACGAGGACAAGGCGGGATGCCTTGTTTAGGTGGTAGAGGCTTTAGGCGCTTCCACTCCCATCGTGAAGCCTGAAGTTCGTACAAATCATTAGAATACTTGCCGTACTCCACCATGCCGCCAAACACCAGAAGCCTCGTGCCATCCACCACGAATCCATAGGCAGCGCATCCTGGGGGAACTTCTCCTTTCGTGACAGGAACGAACCATTGGTTCGTTGTGGTATTGAAGACGTGCAGCTCATGAACAATCCCTTCGTTTCCGCCGCCGAAAACTATCATCAAATCTTTTATGGCGACCGCGCGATGGCCATGACGAGGTCGTGGTTGCGGGCCGGTGGGGTTGTAGACTTTTTGCCACTTAAGTACCGCGTTTTCCTTCATTTTTACTATACATTTGTCACTAAAAGCTTTACACCGTATGTATCGCTCGGGATGCGTATCTATCGCATAGACAATGAGAAACGTCGTAAATAAGCTTTGAAGAAAATATTCGGGTTAGTCGAAGCTACCTAATACCATCTTATTTGTTTTTCTCTTTCGCACTTGTTACGTACGCCTATGAGTAAAAAAAAATCACCTTATGGAGCTTACAGTGTACAACAAAAATGGCGTTAGCAACAGCAGTGCCAACATAAGAGCAGTGGAAAAAGCGGCGTCGGACGTCAAGATTTAGTCTATGACTAATATAGTTTTAAATGGAATTGTTTTTGACCAGATTATTACTAGAGCAAAAATATATTTTAAAAATATTTCAATTATTATCTGTAAAGTGTAGATGATTTTCATGATTTTGTTCAAAATATTAGCAATGTTGCATTGCTATTATGAATATATTCTCAAAATAAATTTAAACAAATGCAATTATTGGTTTTAAAATTACACAGAATATATTGCATAATGAATCAAATATTGCAATCATAAACAAAAAAGTAAAGACTGAATGATGCTTATTATAAAACTCAAGTAATACATTCTACATGTAAAGTTACTCGTTTTTAACAAATGTAAATGAAAGGATATCATGCCTAAAATAAAATATTAAAGAAAAAAAGTCACCTGTTAAAGTGCCTGTTAAGTCGTAAAAAAACAATGAATGAATGAATGAATTTCAAAAACAAGAAATCAATGTTGACCCAATCGGATCTAAACAAACAGTAAATGACGCTAACAATACAATCGTTAAAAAAATGCTTGTTTTTATGTTTCTAAACAAAAATTATAGAAATGTGTACTTTCTTCATAGTAACTGTTGTTGCCTGTCACAATGTTTATTGGATATTAAAGTTCTGTATACAAAAAATATATAATAAAATTCTTTAGAAAAATACAATATATGAAGTATAAAAGTATATGGCCAGTACGTCAGCAACAGTAACATAAGTACGTAAAACGTGTACAAATTGTTTTTCATTCATAGTAAATACAATGAAATGAACCGATTTCATTAAATGAATGATTATTTTATATAAATGAATATCAAAAGATATTTCACAAATTTATATAGGGAGACATTATTAAAATCATAGATCTCAAATGAATAATTGTTGGAATACAAAAACAGTCTAGACTGTTTGTCTGTACGATAAAACAATATAGTGGATATAAGTATGATTTTCACTAATGAATTAACTACGTTTGACTGAAAATATTGTGTCTATTTTGTTTATACTATGAATATATCACTACGACTGATTTAATCATATTGAGTACTTATATTTAACCCTAATAAAATAGTGCTGGTTGGTAGTTTGTATTTACAAGTTTCGAATTGTATAATGTGAACTTACAAGAATTATTTAAAAGAGCAACCCACAAGTTTCTTGCTCGTTCTTCTTGTGATGAGACAGCTTTCCGAATAAGTGGTAGATTAAAAAAAACATTGTTATGACTATTCAAAAGTGATTAAATTAAGTTTATTTGAATAAATGATTTTCTATTCTATTCTATCTTATTCTAATACCACAGTAGTCGCGGGCTCAGTTTGTACAATATAGACAGAATTTTACAATATACAAATAAGGACAGAATTTTGTGTGACAAAATAAATAAACATCTATAACAAACTTTTCGTTTATAATATTAACGAGTACTAACTTTAATAGCGGAGACAAAATTCTCACCAGAGGGCGCTATTGTATTATACAATTGCATTTTAGTATCATAAGAATTGCATTTGCAGCTAAAAAGAACTTGACGTAATATAAAATCTAACCAAATAAGTATATACATATCTACTAATTTAATGTATTGGTTTAAACGATTTAAGTCTACAATCAATAATAAAAACAATAAAATTATACTTACACGTGTGTTCAATTAATGAATTAAGAAAATATTACGTGTTTTGAGTAAAATCTTAAGTTTCGGTGTATTCAGATTAAGTATGAAACATATAGTAACTTTTGTTTATTTGTCATACTTTATTCTTTACCTACGTTATAATATAGTGGCGCCATCTTTGTTGAACTATATTTCAGAGTTGTGAAACAAAGTCATGCAAACTGAATTAAATTCTTAGAAAAATAAATGGAAATGTTTAAGTTTACAATATTGCAAAATTTTCTCATATATTATATAGATGAAATAATTAGAGTAGTTTTTACTTGAAATAATACGAAATGTCAGTAATTAGTTTCTGAACGCATCTTTCATTTCATAATGTTGGTGCACTTGTTAGAAAGCGCGGTAAACTTATAGAAGGCATTCTTGCCACTCTATTGTCTATGAAAAATAATGGGAATCGAAGACAGATTAGTTTCACCACAGGTTGTAAAATATTCTATAGTTTTATGTCATCGAGCACTTAAATTACATTAATTTATTTAGAAATCTGCATAATTACGTTTCTACTTATGTTTATTGTATTTTATTTTATAAAATTTAACTGAACGAAAATTATTTTACATGAAGAAATATTATTGTATTTATTGTATACCACAGATTACAATAATTAATACATTAATAGAAATTTTATTGCAACATATTTTGACCTCGATAGACGCCACGCATTTTATTTTAAAGTTATCTATCTCTAGCTCACCGCAATATTACTCGTTGTGCCATTCTACACTATAAATGTAGAAAAAGTTAATTTAAAAATTAAACATAATTAAAAATAAACTATGTCATTATTACGCGCCCTCTACATTTAAATTCGATAAAGGATATAGAATAAAATGAAAGATTTATCATTATCATCATTAAATAGATAATATCTATTAGATGTAGCAATAAAAATTACGCTCTTATTTTAGTTTTTTGTTTGAGTAGCCGCGTATTTGTATTTTCTATTTGAAGAATAAGTAATTGGATTGGACTGACACTGGTCAGCCGCATCTCTTAGGGGGGTAAAGGTTGGGTTGGGGTCTCGGGACCAACCCCTTTGACCTAGCATCGACTCCTGGGGCAGCAAACCCCGTTAGCTGAGTTGTAAGCCTTGTAGGGCGGGAAATAAATAAAAAAACTAAACTAAATAATTAAGATACTCTTAACCTAACATAAAAATTAGTGCTACACTTGGGGTCAATATTAATTTTTTTTAGAATCAGAGTTTTGTTTCTTTTCATTCTTTCTTTTAGTTCTTTATTGGATTAGATACAAAAGGCAATCTAGATTTCTTTATTTAGGGTATGTTTTTGTTATTTTTATATAGATGGCGTTATTCATCAACGATAGCACAAGTTGTTCCCAATGTCACAATGTGTAGCATTAGCACAGTATAGCATAGGTAATATTAGTTATGAGTTTATACGTTAGATGGCGCTGTTTCTATAAATAGTAACTCAGTATTGTTCAGTCAGTGACGAGTAATTGGAATATAGAAAATTTATTGAGTACTTAGTATACTTACTTGCAAATAATATTTAAACATAAATTAACACAACAAATACCATTTGCTAGATTTTTTTTTTCTTTTCTATATTTTATATAAAAATATATAACTCTTTATTGAGGACTTTCCTTTGCTTAGTACTGTATATTTACAAAAGGAAAACTACATAAATATGCAAAATGAAAATAAAACATTAAATATTTTCAATTCAACTGTATTTTTTTAGGTAAAAGTACAATAGAATGTAAAATATAATGATTACGTATATTTATCGTATCTGTGGATATGACGTACAGTCATAATTAATCTGTATTATTTATTTCGAGTAAAATTGAAAATTGTCGTACCTACACAAAAAACAAAAAAAAAAACAATTTAAAACTGCTTATTTATAATAAGATTACTTGAATAAAGACTATCTATACATATAAATGAAATCGGAGTGTCTGTTTGTAATATAACCGTTTTTTACTACATGCATATGAATATAAATACGGTACATACACTAAAACATTTTTTTTTTACAATTTTTATCTGTCTGTCTGTGCCGGCTAATCTCTGAAATGGCTGAACCGATTTTGTCGGGACTTTTATTGGCAGGTAGTTTATGTAATAAGGAGTAACTTAGGCTACTTTTATTTTAGAAAAAAAAAGTTAAATTCCACGCGGACGAAGTCGCCTGTACAGCTAGTTTCTGATATAACTAAACTCCCAAATTGAATTGAGTGGCGACCATACTCGTTAATTTCATCCAATCCATTTGATGTCAGAAGCATTGAATTTATCATAAAATATTTTATTACTAGACATCTTTGATGCATTGCATCCATATTTTTACAACTTTCATATGAAATTTTTAATATTTCTAACAGTATTTTGACGTTAATTTTACATTCAATAAAATGCGTCGCTCTTATATGAAACTTCATATATTATATGCACTTAATATATTGTAATGTCAATTTATTTTGGTATACGAGAATAAAATGGTAGAAAAATACATTACTATACTATCAATGAATAAGTACTAGGTATATATTTATTTTATTTATTTATTTAATTCAGGCTACATGGCCCATATTATAAATACCTTATAGACTAACATACATAAGAAATAATAATCAAATATGTAAAATAAAATTGTCTCTATGGTCACGGCACTGACGATGGCAATCTGCCACGGTAGCGCCGATAGACCACCCCCTTCGGCCAGTAGTCCTCCTTCATGAAGGTGGGCAGCATGTTGGTGGGGACCAGGGCCACGAACGCTTTGAAGCTCGCGTTGTAGCTCGATTCCAACTGCGTCACCCTCAATATATACTTATGACGACGACTTTACTCTCCAAAGTCCCGGGATCTATTCCTTGCACGGTACATATATTTGTATTCATCAGTATGATTATTTATTTATTCTTCTCAATTGAATCTGTATTCTGAACTGGATGGTAGAGCAAAAAATATTCGTCCAAAAAACTTGCTATTCATATGCGGTTAAAATGACCTATATAAAAAAATATAATTTAAGGCGATATAAAATTTAAATAAATAAGAGGAACAATTTAATGTCAAATTTAAACACCCTATATAGTTAATAGATATGTGAATTAATTTGCCTAAAACACGCAGCTGTCATAGATTGTTCTCAACAATACGAACAGACGCAGCACCAGTTCTCATTAATT